AAACTCATTGGTGGAACATGAAGGTGAACCCTGGGACCCAGACCTTGAGCTGTGTAAAGGACCCCCAAAAAATGAAGCTGCTTCCCGTTCTCCCAGAACATTGATTTTTGTGACCACAGTTACAAACCGCCTCCAGAGAGCCTGTTCTGCACCAGACCAGTGGAGCCAGACTGCAGCTAGAGCCCATCATCATCCTCATCTAGTTGTAAGTAGGCAATCTAGTATATTATTCGTGGCACTAAGCTCTAATTTACCTCACATTAAAGAAACACTATAGTCCCCAGAACCACTTCAGCTTAATGTAATGGTTCTGGTGTCTATAGCCTGTCCCTGCAGGCCTTTTAATGTAAACACGGCGGCACTGCAGCACTGGCGTTAATTAACATGGCAAATCATATGGGTGGGGCATTGTGATGTCACATAGGGGGGGCGGCAAACTTTACTTTTGCCTAGGGCGGCAAAAATCCTTGCACCGGCCCTGGCTGGAGGGGGCTGTGTGAGCTGTGGCCGCACAGTGCCCCATGGTAGTTAAGTGCCCGTCTTGTCAGTACACGAAACTCACACTCAAACAAACAGCTGATAAACTGGCCCATACGGAGGAAATGTGTATGTGTGACTGGAGTGTGTGACTGTCTGCCTGTAACTGAGTGTGTGACTGTCTGCCTGTAAATGTGTGTGTGGGGCTGCAGGGATTTTTGTAGAAGGGGGTGGGGGTTTTGTATTGGGACAGGAGTCTTTATAAGGGGGGATAAGCAGGGGATTTGTGGAAGGGGGTTGCGGGGGTTTTGTAGACGGGGCAGTGCAGGATTTGTAGAAGGGGCAGGACAGAGGTTTTGTAGGAGGGGCGGGGCAGGACAAGGGTTTTGTAGGAGGGGCTGACAGAAAGCGGTTTTGCAAAGTTTACAAATTGTAAAATAAAAAGAAATAAAACCTTTAACATTTTTACAGGTTTTTTTTTTTTTTCAGGGGAGAGGGATAAGGGGGTGCCAAGCACAGGATCCGCCCCGGGTGCCAAATGCTCTAGGTACGCCCCTGCATCAAACAATTGCATACATTTCTGAATACTTTGTGTCGATATGGCTATATAAGGAAGAAGAAAAGGAAAAAGGGGGGGGGGGGGATTTCCCCCATAGCCCTTCCACCCTGTTCCAACCTCAACCCAGCACAACCTTCCCATCCTCCAACCAGTCCACCCATTAGGATGTCCCTCTTGATATGTCAGGGGTCCTTAAATAGTTACAATTTAGAATTAGCACCAATCAAAACTATAACCATAGATAATGGCAGTTTCTACCAATACATAAAATGAATGTGAGCAACATAATGTAGTTTCCTTTCTGGCTTCTACTAATCCATTGATTTAACTGCATCTCGCAGGGTTGTTAACTAAAGGGTGAATTATTGAGAATTCAAACTGAATTGAAAATTTTTGGCCCAAATAACATGCATTATAGATGAATTCTAGAATGTTTCCATTTCAATTTTTTTATCCTAAATTGTGATATTCACTTTGATTCACAGTGCATTCTCAACAACTGACATTTTCAGATTTAGACCAATCTGGGGAAAAAAAATCTGCTTGAATAAGTATTGAAAGGTAAAGTCTTACCTGGAGTTCAGCATCAAATTCATGCTTCAAATGTGCTTCCTCTGCAGCCTCGACAAGTCGCTGTGAAGATAAGAAAAGGTTTGTGTAAGCCAGCAAAATAATATAATTGTATATAACAATACTGCCTAAAACGTAGTCTGAAAATATGTTGGGCTCTCCAGTTGCATCCGATATCTGAACAGTGGAAGCAAAATTAAACAAAAACAAAAGTAGCAGCTATAGCCCATTTTCAATTGTCCTTGCATATCCGAATTGACACCGGTCTTTAATACATATGGATAACGCGAGTAATTAATTATAGGGAGCACTTCAATAACGGTGACTCTAAGACAAGAAAAAAAACTTTATGAGAAAACAGAAAACCGATCCAGTAAAAGCTCAGTAGCTTGCTTTCTGGTTACTCCACACTCAGATCTCATTGGTGCCGTTATAGAGAGAACCTATACCATGAGAATGTTAAACTGATCTCACTTATAAGGCAGTCCAGATTCAAAATGCTGACAAATCCCATGTGCTCTAGAGCAGTGTTCCTAAACCCTCTCTTCAAGGCATACCTAACAGCCCAGGATTTAGCTTAGACACATGTTTAGAAAAAATAGAAAAAAGTGTTTTTAGTTTTTTTTTATTGTTTTTTTAAGCACACACGGGTAATCCCTAAATCCTGGACTGCTAGGTTTGCCTTGAGGAGAGGGTTGAGAAGCACTGCTCTAGAGATAGAGCAGTAAAGTGTAGCTAACACCCTTCTAAGCACAGTGAACAAAGATTCTCTAATTGGAGTTTTTAATTTTACACCTTTGATTTACAGAGATCCTAGTCCTATGCAAACCAATTTAAAAAAAAATGGAATTTATGAGTTCACAAACAGGGTTATTCAAAGCCAGAATTCAAAGTGAAGTTTAGGAAAGGAAGCCAAATTGTAAATATTCCATTTCGAAATCCTATTTGAACTCTCATCAGCCTCAGCCACAATCACAATGAGGATGATAGGAGTTGTATATCCGTAAGAATAATGTACCCCTTAGAAACAATTTACTAATTTTTATGTGACAAATTCCCAATGCAGTACCTTTTTTTTTAATCTGACATCTTAAAGAAATTTGTTTTTCTTTATCAGGGAGTTAGAGAGTTAAATTGGCTGAGAGAAGGCAGCAGAAGCCTTAGGACTATGTATGTAACTCGTTCTGCCTTGGGCAGTTTGTCCATGATGTTTGGAGTTAGCATGCTGTGTGTGCTAACACCAGACAAAAATAATTGCACAAAATCTTAGGTGCGCTATATGATAAATACCACAAATAAGGATTGAAGAAAACAAATATAAATAATGCTAAAATGTTGAGTATTAAAAGGGACACTAAAAACAGCAAAACAGATTTAGCTTAATAAAGTGGTTTTGATGTATAGATCATGCCACTGCAGGCTTACAGCAAAATTTCTGCCATTTAGGAGTTAAATCACGTTGTTTGTGCAGCCATAGCCATACCTTCCTGCATGTGACCTACACAATCGGCCAACACATTTATTGTAAAGAGAGAATTTACATTTAAACTGTCTTTATTGCACAGTCTCTTTAATTTAGAATTCATTTTCTCCTGTTCTGTTAATAGCCTTCTGGACCTTGCAGGAGACTCCTGTGTATGATTAAAGTTCAGTTAACAGAGCAGGAGATAAAACATCTAAAGTAAACACTCTGTTCTCATTGAGAATAAAAACTTTTTTTTTTTTCGTTTTGGTTGTGTGGGTCACAGCCAGGGGAGGTGTAATTAGGGCTGCATAAACAAAAGTTATTTAA